AGAAAAAAAGTTTGTATTTTTCTACCCTAGTAGGTCATATATTTTCTTTTAGGGACAAACTTTTGCTTTTTATTCTGTCTTGATTTTTGAAAAAAAAAATTAACACAGTTCATATTTATCAGGAACAATTTACCAAAGTCAATAGTGCTCCGAGCTATGATGGCTATCCATTTTTACAGAATTCTTTCAGAGCTACTTTTCAAGATGATAAAAAAGCAGATCTTTTCACAAATCCTTTTTTGATTTCCCTGCAACATATTAATTGTTACCCTTCTGAAATCCAAATCCAAATTATTATCTACAGCACCATACTATACTGAAAAGCAAATAAAAGGAATTATATAGAATTTTGAAAATTTGTACTAACAAGCAGTTTTTCAAATTTGCACGATTTGGCTGTCAGATATTGTTGTAGGTTTGAATCAACATACGTTTGTGAAATATTTTTTTTAATATGAACGTAACAAATCAAACTATCGTTCGAACTAATTGAACTGATTAACAATAAAATCTAAGTTTTATCTGAAAGTGGCACTCTTCCTAAAAAGGTCGGCCACCCCTGACCTAGATGATCGATATTTGTGTGGTAAACACATGGCGTGCATACCAAGTTCCTAATCCAGATGAGAAGCTTTCGCTTTCGGATGTTCGACGGAAGATAGTACTTTTATACCTCTCAAAGAAATCAGAATCAACGTCGAAACGTTTAGGACCTCAAGGAAATAAATTGATGAAAGGACCGATTAGCACAGATGTATCACTTGATCCAGGAAGTCACTCCATCGTGCCAACGAATACGCAGAAGAGATGTGCGTACCGTAAGAAAAAAACGGCGAAAGTGAATAAGTATAATGTTGGTGTCCATGACAAGTGTTTTGTTTCGTTCTACACACCATAAAAACACAAAAACATCCCAAACTCAATTTATTTTGTCTGCATGGTGTTTATTACATTACCAATAATATTGTTTATTTTGATAGTGTAATTGTTCAATGTCCCAAAAAAAGAACGGTCTGTAGTTTTTATACCACATATAAAAACTCGAAAACAGTTTTTCTGTTCATATTTCATTCATGTTATCATATAAACGCATTTTGTTTTTGAAAAAAATTAAAGAATAGAGTTTTGGGGGGCATATAATAGGTTAACGTGCGAATACACCCAATAAAATCGACCTATTTCCTATTACACAATTGCAGGAGAGTTTTCCCTCCAACAAATTTTTTTGATTAACATATAAGTTATGTGAGTGACTTCTATTTGAAGTTGCTCCCTCACCGTCCTGCCTACCTAAGGGGGGAAACAAAGCATGACCAGAAACTTCCATAATAATTATTATTTTATTACTATTAAAGCACACTAATCAACCCCTAGTTAAACTACAAGAGGAGACCATGGGAGTAACATAAAGAAAGCAATCAACTCTAAGTAAAAAAGTGCAAGTAATCAATTTAATTTAACCTAATCTATCTTATAGACTACAAATTCCCAATCCACTAATTTAGTATAGTGGCAAACTTCGTTCTAAACTCAAGTTATGAAAATATCTCACCTTTGTTAGGCCGCGACAGTTTCTCCGCTCCTTCTGTCTTACAATTACAAAACCCTAACTTTATATAGACAAACTAATCTCCATATCAGGGTTTCTTCTTGAGAGGGATGGCTGTGAATTAACTCGATGCAACCCCAAAGTTTCCCCAAGAGGATTAATGTGAAGGTCGCGTACAGATCCGTCACAGTTAATATTCTGTAATCGTTTAATATCCCCCTCATTTATTTGCAAAGCCGTGGTTATCAATATTGTATTAGTCAAACCTCAAAAAGATACTCGAATTAGAATTCAGGCATACGATTCGGGAAAGTTTGATTTGATCTTAAATGTTCGTTGCATTCTGCAGCAACACAAGGACTATTGGCGACGGACCTCGTAGTTTTGAGCCACGGTCAAGTGACACCTGAGTAACACCTTTCAAGTGACCCTTGTCCACCTAATGGTGGACCAGCCCCCATTGTACAAATTATACAACTGTTCATATTGTTCGAATTGCAAAACTGTAATTTACATGTATTTTGTAGTTTTATTTGTTTATTAAAGTAGAACGTCGTTTATCTGAAAGCATTGGGACCGGACACCGTTCGGATAACCGAAAACCGAATGCAATCCATGCAGTTTATGATACTGGACACTATACAAATATTGAAAATCATCACATGCGGGAAACGTGCTTGAAGAAAAAGCAAAATAGGTGCAAAATGTCGTAATTTTACCTTGATTGTGGAAAATTATCACTTATTTTTCGCTGTACTATTGTACTCGTACATCTTCGTTTTTTCACTGTGTGGGGGTGTCGGTCTATTCGGTACCCCTCTCTGAGCGTGATTATGCAAATTAAGTTATATATGTCTATTCTGTTTTCGCGAGTTTAAGAGTTAGTGAAGTAAGAATTGAAGGTTAGTGAAGTGAGGATAGCTTGGATGTGAAGTAAATAGATGAGAAGCTAGCAAACCGGCAGTAGTACGTATACGTAAATAGTGTACGACGCGAGAAATTGGAAATTCGGAAAGTGCTTAGTTCCACTATTGGAGAAGTGTTTGAGGTCACGCCTAAAGGATTAAAGGATTGCAAGAGTTGAGGTACTGTGCTCATATTTTAAGTAGAAGTTAGAGTTAAATTGTTAGCGCACTTCCGAGGTAAAAACGAGCTTGTATAAGTTATCGTAGGAATGTATTTAAATGATCGTATTTATTATCCCCACGTTATCTTGTCTCACCTAAATCTTCTAAGTGTTGATCATATTTATTTATCATATTGGATTATTATTGTGTCTGTGTTGAATATTATGACAAATAAACATTTGTAGTGAATCATGTCGTCTGATCAATAGTTCCTCGCGCACATCTAGCCGGGTTAGAGGGAAGAAGGAATAACAATTCCTTACAAATTCTGACTTTTATTTAAAAATGTTCCTTCTGAAAGATCTGTTTCTTCATTCTGTAAAAAAATGGAAGATTAGTGTTTAATTTAAAGTTCAGCAATGTTTCATTGATTCAACCAATATTGAATGATGCATAAACAGTATGAAAATTCCAAATCGTTTTGTTAAATGACAAATAATTCTAAAAAAAAATACGTCTTATTATAAAAACATTGCCGTTAGCAATAATGGCGTTATGTCACGCATTAAAGATTGGGCGTTAACAAACTAAATGGAGAACAAAAAAATATAAACTTTTGCATAACAATTTCTAATGTGAACGTCCTCGATTCAACAAAAGAATTGGTAATTATGTCTAGAAAATTACTATTAAAGACAAATACAAATAGTTATTTCTTGAATCAGAAAACGTGCAGCAAGCAAAATTTCCAATTACTTAGTTTTTTCAATTATGAAGTTATTTATTTGTTGCCTACGAAAAACTGCATTCTTATTTTATAATTGCCATCAAGGCGATAATTATACATTTTTTTGCAGTAAAAATTAATATCTTCTTTCACAACATTACCATTATCTAATAAAACTTATCTGAGATATTTATTTAAAAAAAAAATTGTTCGAATAGTTTTTGAAAACGTTAATAAAAATACAGTAGGACTTCCAATTTACGAACCCCTGTTTAGCGAATTTTTCTGTTTTGCGAACTTTTTCCTGGAACCAAGAATATTCTACGATTTTCATCGTAAAATAACCTCCATATAGCGCAGTACATTTTCTATTCTACATTTCTATTTTTCTCTTGTGATTTGATTTTTTCTCCTTGCTTTTAAAATGTTTCAGGACATTTTTTTAAAATTATTCTTTATTTTAGTACATTTTATGATGATCAATGGCCTTGAACTGGTTTTACCAGGTCCTAAATTACCTAGAGCAATGAAATTGCTGTAATTTTTCTAATAAAAAATTCAATTAAAATTAATAGGTTTTATCAGTAAATAAATCTAAATGTTATGCATCCAAATGTTATGGCACACTGAGATTAATCTTGGAATTCGTGTAATTCTTACCCGATTCTGAAACTAATTTGAAGATATTTTGTAAATAATCCTTGAACATGCTAAACACATAAGTAATATTAAACAAGATATCAATCATTGGCATGGCCAAGTAATTTTAGCGCGTTTTTCACATGTTGTATTTTACAATAATGAACTAATGAACTTTTTACTAACAGAAAGTAGTGTATTGCACCACTCCTCTAAATGTACTACTATTGAGCTGAAAAGAAAAAATTCTGGGAAAATTTTGTGGAAAACTCAGAAAATTTTGTGGAAAATTTAAATATGATCGGCTTATCTAGGGCACAAATACGACCAAATGCCGAAAACCCGAGGTCAATTGGTTGCTTATTGGTTGCTTATTGAGAAAAAGGTACGACAAAATATGGAACGAAGACGAAAACGAAATTTGCTTCCTAATAGCGCTTTTGTTCCACTACGTGAAAAATGAGCTGAAAAATTTTTTTTTTAAAAATCCATTTCTACTTAGGTCAACAAAGAAATATTTTATTTTAGTTAATTTTAGTTAATAATTACAATTAATATTAATATTATATGCATATGACAGAATCATAATATCGTGTCAAAATAGAAGGCTATTTTCCTTGCAATTTTCTATTTTCTTTTCTGTATATGGTATACTGACGACACTACTAACTACAACTGACTATCACTCTCTTATAACAATTAACAACTTTATTTACAACTTTTAACTACTCACACCTTATTCATCACTAACTACTCGTATATCTCATACCTTATACATTACTAATTTCTCACACCTGATAACACCTCACAAACTCTACTCAAACTCTCTCTCGTCATACACGTAACTCCCCCACACTTCCGGAGGTACACAACGTCGCTGTTGAAACAGCGCCATCTATAACCTTAACATGTGGTGTTGGACTATTATTTTTGTTTGTTACTATTTATTCATTAATTAAATTTAATAAATCCAATAAAATAGAAAAGGAAAATGAAATCACATTCTCAGAAATTAGGCCATCCCAGGTGGTAATTGGACCCACGACCTTTGCATTAGAAGTTCAACGCACCATTCATTGCGCTACAGGGACGCAACGGGCGCTTTTCCTTTTTCTGTATGGTGTTGGACTATTGTTTTTGTTTGTTACTATTTGTTCATTGATGAAAAAATTAATGAATTAATATTTGATGAAAAACTGTTTTAACATCAAGTGTTATAAACTAAAAGTTTAAAAAAGTGCATTTGAACTTGAGTGGACGAATAAAAAGTATTTCATTAGCGATTGAAAATTTGAGCACGATATGTATAAAATATATGGGAGAGCGTGAAGTAATAGAAGGAATTGAAAAACAAAGCAATATGCATTATAAAATGTACAAGAATAAATATTTTCGTTCAAATGTAAATAATTTAACCGAACAATCGAATCTCTGTACAATTTGCTTTTTAAGATAAATATAATGTAATTCTTATTCACAAAATTGTGATGCATGGTAAAAGGAACAACAGGGTGCCGTATTGTGGTGATGTAGTGATTTATTTAAGTTATCGTCCTTCTCAATGTAGAAAGGATGTAGTATATTTTGTTTACGAAATATCTTTGTTGTCTCTTATTTGACGTTTTAATGTTTGAAACTGTGCTCGTTTAGTTTGTTTACAAATTAATTTGAGGTAGCCGCCGAGAAAATTCTCTAATGAACAACAATCTTCGTAATTATTAATTTATAACATCATATTTATAAGACGCATGTTGACTCTCAAATTTTACGTTTATTCAGACTGAATTGCAAACTTCCGTGTGTTTCTAGACTTTTTTTTTTATACTCGTTGACATGAATTCAGCACCACAGCTCTATTATTAATTTCAAATGCCTTCAGATGGGAACTATTTTATTTTTGGAAAGGCATCATCACAAATCGGGCCAAAAGCCAGCTGCTTTGCGCAAATCTCAATAAACAAGTTCAATGAACTTTTTGTTCCGTCTGTGTATGTTGAGTGTTTATGTAAACAATATCTATTGACTATAAGTTAAGCTTTTATATTTATTGCCTCCCTTCAAACGAAAATATACAATGGAAAAGTTTAACTGCTGATTAAATATTTTTAAACGCTCAAATTAAAAGTATTTTGTTTTTAAATTTTTAAACAGAAAATGCGTTTTTTATGAATCTAAAAAGGTCTTTCAGAATTTGGGGTTCAAGAAGAACTGCAAATAAAATCTGTAAGTGTAAAACGTTTATTTTAATAGACCGCTGAGATTTATTAAAATCTAGGACTGAGTTGAGTGAAAATCCGATATTTGAGAACCGCTTGAAACCAACAAGACCAGCCGTTCTTAAACTGTGATCCGCGGACCCCCGGGGTTTCTCAGCGCCTTACTAGGGGTTCTGCGAAGGTCCCTCATGTAATGTTATTTCCCTCTTTTACGGTCTCTTAAGAGCTCGGTGGAAAAATTAAGAGATATACCATCCTGGATTAGATAACTAAATTGTTCCCAGTGAAAAACTATACTTGAACATTGTGACGGATCTATACGCGTCCTGAATCACTAATCCTCTTGGGGAAACTTTGGGGCCAGCATTCGCGTTAATTCACAGCCTCTCAAGAAGAAACCCTGATATTTAAATTAGATTGACTATATAAAGTCTAGATTTTGTAGATGTAAGATAGAAGGAGCAGCAGAGCTGTTGCGGAGATACGTAGGTGAGAATTTTAGAATATTTCATTGAGTATTTCACAAATATAGCGCGAGTTAAGGAAGGAGTTGCTAAGATAATAAATTATTAGATTAAGGATCTAAGATAGATTGAATTAGATTTAGTAATCAGATCACCAGCGCTTGTTCACTTTGTCTAGTTCCCTTAGTCGTGTTTACTTAGAGTTGTTCATTGAGAATAGATTGCTCGCTTTATATATCACTCCTAGGGTCTCCTTTTGTAGTTTCACTTGTGATTGATTAAGTGTGTTTGCAGAAAAATAAAATAATAGTTATTATGGAAGTTGTTGGTGATGCTTTGTTTCTGCCCACACCCTTAGGTAGGCAAGACGGTAAAGGAGCGGTGCCAAATAGGTCGCGCTCACTACATGTATTTAGATCAAGAACATTATAATTAAGTTTGTTTATTGTTTGCAACAACATAGCCATTATTGCAACGTAATTTTTCAATTTCTGCTATTAGTTTTCTCTCTCCCTATATATATATATATATCTGATGTAATAACGAAAGAAGAGCTTAAAACTACTTTTAGTGCAATGAAACATAGATATCAAGCTGTAAATAGAAATAATGACTACCAAACTAGACACTGATAACTCACCGCTATCATCAGTATATGTAATGTACATCGATAGTTATTGCAACATAACATTTTTTGCTTTGCAAATATTTTAATTTCGTTTTTAGTATTGAATTAAGTATTAAATTCTCTTTAAAATGATGTATAATATTTTGCATTTTGTGCAACGAAAAATTTTCTATAGGCATGCAAACTTAAAAAACATAAGAATTTTAAAAAAGTAACCACAATTTTGGCCCCCACTGTATATATAGTTCAATTTTTTAGTCGTTAATAAAATACTTTCTATTCATCAATTCAAGTTCAAATTCATTTTTTGAACTTGTAGTGGATGACACTTGATGTTCATACAGTTTTTTTTCAAATATTAATTCATTAATTTAAAAAAACGAATAAATAGTAGCAAACGAAAATAATAGTCCAACAGCATATATAGAAAGAAAAACCATTCGTTATGTTCCTGTCGCGCAATGGATAGCGCGTTGGACTTCTAATCCATGGATCGTGGGTTCGAATCCCACCTGGGATGGCCTAATTTCTGAGAATGTGATCTCTCTCTCTTTACAGTTCTATTTTATTAGAATAATTAAATGAATGAATAATGTAGTAACAAACACAAACAAAAAAATAGTCTAACACCCTATATAGAAAGGAAAAGGGAAAATTGCAAGGAAAATCGCTTTCTATTCTGTTATTTAAAATTGTGATTCTGTCATATGTATATACATATTTATATTAATTGTAACTATTTAATATAAAGTAACTAAAATAAAATTTTTTCTTTGTTGACCTAAGTAGAAATTGACTTAAATTTTATTTATATTACTTGTTTTATTAGATGTTAACGGTTTTCTCAAAGGGAAAAAAAAGTGTTAAAAAAGTCTGTATAAGAAGCAGAGGTAGTTCTAGGATTATTGAGGAACATTTAAATCCATTGGCGTAGCTCGTCTTGAGTGAGCCCTGTATCAAAACTTCTTGAAGGTTCTCTTTTTTTAGGGGGTTAGGGACATTTTTTTTTTGACATTTTACGATTTTTTGCTTATACATGTTGGGGGCCGCGTGTTATTGATACGGCTGATACAGCGGTCGCTACGCCCCTGTTTCAATCACTCAGCCTTGTGTTGGGAGTCATGGAGGACTGTTCAAAGTTTTGGGATCCGCGATGTCAGGCTGATACATGAAGGGGGGTCGGGGCGATCGAAAGTTTAAGGACGGCTTATCTAGACCAGAGGTCAACAAAATTTTCAACTTACGGAACCCCTAGAACTTGAAAATACTCTCGTGGAACCCCTAGAACTAGAAAGTGCTTTCGTAGAACCCCATTTCCATACACATACTTCAAAGAATATACAGTGGTACCTCGACATACGAGTTTAATTCGTTCCGCAACCTTGCTCGTATCTTGAATTACTCGTATCTCGAAGCAAATTTCCCCATACAAAACAATTGAACTACCATTAATCCGTTCCAACCCCCAAAATGTCACCCCAGTTATTTTTGTTACGTGGTTTTGAATAATAAAAACGTATTTATAAATGACAAATATTTATTGTACAAAAACAAAAAAGAGAGTGTAAAGAAATAAATTAGATATCCTCACTGGTCTTTGCCTTTTTCGCTACATTTTTCTCGCTTTCACCTGTAGGCCGTTTAGAAAAAAACATGTCCAAGGATGTTTGTTTCTTCCTCCCTCCTCAGAATGTTCCGGAAATGAGTTAGGCATGTGTCATTAAAAAGATCAGATGCACGACATGTTGCAACTTTTTCTGGGTGTTTCTTTTCCACGAACTGTGAAACTCTCTCCCACATTCCTAAGATCTCCTTTATCTCACTTGTAGAAATAACCTCCTCCTCTGACTCCTCGAAACCAATTAATTCAATACTCATCATCTTTTTCTTAGCACTTGACCTTTCACAAACTTTCTTCCGATCCATGGTTATAAAAATAAATGAACTACAACTGTAAATGTAAATGTAAACGCAACACAAAACGCGAACACAACTACACAACTTATCACAGCGGAAGCACGCTGCTAACTGATTCACTGACCGTGATGGGCGCGGTCGCGTGCTACTACCGGCCGACCTGCTAAACCGAACTCGTATCTCGAATTTCGCTCGTAACTCAAAGCAAAAAATCACTCGCTCGCCGGCTCGTATCTCGAAAAACTCGTATGTTGGGGCACTCGTATGTCGAGGTACCACTGTATATCAAAATAATATATAAAGTATATCGACATGTTACATAAAACTCAATTAAAAATTTGCATTTATTAATGACTAATCTAATCTAATTTTTTAAAATACATTTACGCATTAATAATATTAATTTGTGATTCATGTGTCACCTAGCCATGCATTATATTCAGAAACTGGGATAAATGCTGTGGTATTTTTTTATACAAACTATCGAAGTCTATGTCTGCTGAGATTAAATGCAATAGTATTACGTATTCTGAGTTTAATTTGTTCTTATATTCTGTTTTTGTAGCCACTTACGTTAAGAAATATATTTCTTAACGAATAACTCTGAAATGATGTTTAAAATGTTTATAGCTGTGTGAGAAATCCCGTGTATTTTGCTTGAATTTACAACCTAAAATTTAGAAGCTATTCTTGCTTAAATTTAGATTTTAACATCAACTCTGTTCATATGTTGTTCCCTGTCGTTCATTATAGGTGTTTTTTCCCTCAATTGTAAAAGGGTGCATTTTCCATTAGAAAACTATTTAGTTTTGCTAGATATTGTGATAACTAACGAGTATAAAATTATCTTGTGGAACCCGAGGTAG